CATTGGCTAATATATGCCAGCTGACACGCAGTGGAGCTCGAAGCCTATTGGAGAACTGGAGAATGACGTTTCTGGATACGTATAATGCTCTCACTCACAAAGCAGAAGCTATCTGATTCGCAAGGTTTTGTTTTAGATATAATGTAGAGAAAATTCAATTGCTTTCAGACGTCCAAAAGCACTTTTTTTATTCATATAACAAAGTATTAAGCCAAGTTGCATAAAAATCGTGAGAAATATTAAGAATAAGAAAAAGTCGGGAGAAATATATTGTAAATCGGGTTGGCGGGAGAGCGGTCGAAAATCGGGAGTCTCCCGCCTAAATCGGGAGAGTTGGCAACTCTGCATGCTGTTCCTTAACTTTTGGAGGGCAGTGTATTTACGAAATCACTGAACCCCCCATCAAGGTGAAAGTTCCCACCCCTCCAATCTGCATTGAAGTAAAGAAGCAGATGACTTCACTCAACTTCTCTTTCAAGTTCACGACTGTTGTTTTATTCAGGTTTTCATAGATAAAATTTAAAATATTTTTTATTTCAACACCTCTTATTATAATGTCAGGTAAGAAATACATTCATGATTTTACTGCTTGCAACAATGAAAAACGTAAACATGCTGCATTGATGATAATGCAAAAAGTGGAAATTTTGCAAAAGATGAAGGGAGGTGCTGCTCCTCTTTGCAGTAGAATTGTATGGAATTGCGACATGGACCATATATGATGTACAGAAAAATGAAGAAAAGCTGTTGGAATTTTACAGCAACAATGATTTTAACACCAGAAATCTTTGCATGATGTGAAATCGGCAAACCTCGATGCTGCCTCGAACGAATAATTTTGGCAGCGGTGAAGTGATGAGGTACCAATTTCAAGCCACTCCTGAGAAAAAAGGGAAAACGGATTAACACTGATTTAAAAATAGAACAGATATGCAATTGCAGCAGCAGTCAGATGAACAGATTTAAGTACATGCACGGTATATGTTATCTGAAAGCCCATGGGGGGAGTTTCAACAGATAAAGATGCTACTTATTGATGAATTTTCTATGCTGGCAGCAGAAGAAAATCTTAGCCCAGAACAGATTTTTAATGTGGAATGAGACTGTACTCTTTCGGCGATGTTTGTCAAGAAAGTCATTAGTGACAAGCGAAGAACGTGCACCATCAGGGGTGAAAGAACTACTATTTTAGTATGCAGCAATGCAGCTGGAACTTACAAATTTAAACCAATTGTAATAGGTAAGAACACTAATCCCAGAGTTTTGAAAGGAGTAAAATCCTTACCTGTGATTTACAGGAATAATAAAACTTCATGGTTCATGAAATAACTTATGATCGAATGGTTTGTGGAACATTTGGTTAAAGAGGCTAGAAGACATTGTAATAGTGTGGAGTTAAAATCAAATTGCAAGATTTTACTATTGCTAGACAACTGCTCTGCACATCCAGAAGCAACCATTTTTAACATGTGATAATGTCATGACCCTTTTTTGCCCCCAGATCATTCATTCAACCAATGGACCAGGGCATTATACACATCATTAAATTCCACTACAAATCACTTTCTGAAGAAAATTCTTTCAATAGATCATTCTATTTCACTTTGTGACTATAAAACAAATTTCAGCATCTATTTGTTAGCAGAATCTTAGAATTATGTTTCCCAATTTTAGCCTAGCTTACACCGTTCGTTATACATTAAATGCATATGCGCATGCATAAATGCATTATGCATTTACGCATGCGCAGAAAGTTTGTAGCTTTGAGGTCTGGATTACAGATCATTACGGATTATGGACATCCGGATTAAAGACTTTATACTGTATACTCCCAGTTTTAAATGATGACTGGAGATTAGGGGATCCAATCAACAAATCCTGGTAGTGAGAAATTATCATCCACCACCTTTTAGTTTGGGCGCCACTGTAGAGTCATTAGGATTTTCGATGCTGGGGATATGAAAAATGAGCAATGGCCTTGTCGGGAGTTGGAACTCTCGAATACGCACCGAGTGTGTTACCATTACACCATGAAGGCATGCTGGAATGAGGGAGAAAATGCCTTACTATAGCAAGAGAATTGCTTCTGTATTTGAAAGAAAGAACAAATGAGGAAGCTTTACAAAGAGAATATATCGTTGAATAGATGGTGCGCCCACATGAGCCAACATTGGCATATTAGATGACAGATGATGAAATTATTGGCTTTGTTTTAAACTCGACGCAGATAGTAAATTTGATAAGAGTGAGAAAATTATCTTTTAATATGAAGATTTCAAACATGGTGAAAAATACCTAAAATTTTTAGAACAATAGAGATGTGTCAAAGAGACACAAAGATGAGGCTCTATGACACAGCTATGATTATGGCACTATATAATTTACAAAACGAATTTACTCTGGAGCACACTAAAGTTTTAAAACAAATACCTATCAGAAAAACGTTTAAAACGTGTAAAGAAAAACTAAAATATTTCATAACTTCTTAATGTCCTTTATTTTCATATGTCTTTATTGTATATGTCCTTAACATCTTTATTTATTTAGCAATTTTAGTCTAAGTATTATGATTTATCTTTTTTGCCCTGAAATTTCCAAAATCCTAAAATCAGGACAATCTCTTTTCCCAAGTAATGCTGATTTCTGATCTTCTACTGTACATATGTAAGATAAAAATATGAAAGCAAACTTCTAATTTTAATTGGCAATAGTCCTTTTATTCCTCATTTTTATTTAGACACCTACCTTTTATCTCCTAAATATAGTAGCTATTTACAACATATCAATCTAAACTGCATCATTTCCAAATTAATGCTTACCCAATTGTCATGGCAAAACAATTGTCCACTAAAGGATTAAAAAATAAAACACTTTCTCAAAAATTAAAAATTTAATTAGGTTTTAAAGTGTGACATCTTTCAAGGCACTTTCCTTTGTCCACTGCAAAATTTACACATATACTATATTATACCACATATTTTCTTGATGGTGCACACACAACATCGATGCAAAGTATTTTTCTTTTTTTCTAATTCCCAAGAAGAGTTCTAATTTATCTTTCCTCATGTCCCTGGAAAGTTTCCCTGGAGAATCGTACTTTGTTGCTTGTTTGCTAACGCCAAATGTTAATGATATATAGTATTGATGGTCGCCTGCAGCAGATGGGTACATTGTCCTCTCAGCAAAAAAAAAAAAAAAAAAAAAAAAAAAAAAAAAAAAAAAAAAAAAAAAAAAAAAAAAAAAAAAAAACATGTCACATCTCAGCAGGTGGCACATAAGTTTCTTGCTGCAACAGGGCAGAGAAAAACTGTACCTAGACATTTGGGAGAAAGAGTACTATAATGCCCACAGGTCTATTGCTTGTGCCCCATTGTTCAGACAGTATAGTACTGCCCATCTGCAATGGCATCATGAACATCGCAATTGGATAGGAGAAAAATGAACATGTGCAATATTTTCAGATGAGAGTAGCTTCAGTCTATCATCAGCTTGTAGATGGTGGTAACTGATCTGGCATGAGTGGTACTGCTTATTGTTGGTATGCAAATACTGATGGACTGTCGCCAATAGCATGATAAGCAGTGTGACCTGGACACCCTGCAAAGGAATTAATCATGTAACTCGCTTTTTTCCTCATTCCATCAGGAAAGGACAGTAATATGACACTCTCTATTATATAAATCTCTTTTGATATGTATTTGGAATACTAATGAATCTTAATCTATTTTCATGTATAATAAAATGTTCATGACCTTTCAATTTCCATCTGCAACTTCTTTACTGGATTACACGTGTAAGTTGACAACGCTGATGCTGCACTGGCTACAAGGTAAGAGGAATCATTTTGCTCTCTACTTTTTTAATATTGTTGTGAAATTGTGAGGCAACAAAAATATTTTACAACACTTATCCTCTAGAAAATATCTAGGAAAGAGATTGATATCCAAGACGCAGTATGATAGTATGCCCTAGCATAATGATTACTGACCACATGCCCTATATGTACTTACAGTGAAAACTATAACTGGCCAACAATACATTGATGCAGTTTAACTGCCTTACATTTGCATTTTTCATGGTCCTTCTGACGATAAATTTGATATTTTAGTGTAGTGTCTACATTATATAAATTAAACTTTTAGAACATTTTCTGTAGTTATTCCCAAGTGGTCTAAAAATACTTTGAATACTGGTGGATTGTCTACAGATGGCCATTCTACTTTTGGATCAGAATCATTCGAATTCGGGCTTAAATCAGTAAAAAATTCTTTTGTCTTAGGATGTCATTTTTGTCATCACTACAATCATCATTGGGAAGCTCATTCTCATAGGAATAATTCAACAAACTATCTGCACGCAGTTCTTCATCATCACATTCTATTCTATCAAGGTTCATTTTAAAGAATTTACTGTAAAAAAGTTAAGATATAGTAAAATAATGCCTTTGTCAAAAAAAAAAAAAAAAAAAAAAAAAACATCAATGACAATAATTAATCAATAATTCATAGAAAACGCATTTGTTGTCCGTCACACTTTAATCTGCACAAAATGAGTTTAGTCATCTCGTGCACTTCAATAACAATATGCACAAAAAATTTAGTATTTTCTCCCTTCAGAAGTATAAAAATTGAATAATAATGTTTATTTAGGCAATCCTATTCTGTTAACGATTCTTATCAGTTACCTAGACAGCAAACCGAGTTTTAAATTACTTGAATTTCTTAGTAGTCTTATTGTCTACAAGCACAAATTCTTCTGAACAGTTACAAAATTCAATTCTTTGGCTATCTAGTTTATTTTGCTAACTAATCTATTTACTTTTATACAGTATTTCTTTATTCATCTGTTACTAAACTTCCAAAATTTACATTCATTTAATGCTACATTTATATTTTTGAATATCTTTTTAATGCCATTGCAGTAAGCTTATTTTTAGACAAAAATTTAATCAATGAAATACTTTTTTATAAATATTAAAGGTGTTTCGTAAATCTACTTACCATTCAAAATGCTGAAATTTTTGCTTAGAGAAGAATTCATTCCAATATTCTTTTGAACTGAATTCTTTGTGATCCTTTGGAAGCAAGTTCATGGTCTGTGTATCTTTCTTATTCTCTTAAAAAATTATAAATGTTTCTAAATGAAAATAATAATATACAGATTAATAAAATGTATTAATAAGCATTTCTTCATATGTAAAATAAAAATTAGTTCTTGAACTGAAACAATTAAATATAGAAATAGAAGACTTTTTTTGTCACCAGTCACCAAATGTGCAATAAAGCAACAAATGTAATACCTGTTTATATCACATAATGAACATCTGTGCAGTAATAATATATAAAATGTATAATATGCACAGAATTTTTTTTTTTTTTTTTTTTTTTTTTTGAGTGAAAACAGATTGCTGTGTACCTGAGAAGAACAACAGTTTAGTGGAGCAAAAAACTTTTTTTTTGACTTATTTAACGGTTTCATGTTTTTTCATGAATTGCTTTGCCAAAAACGGTATTAGTGTGAGAAATTGCTTCCCACACAAAAATATCTAATTTAATGTTAAAATATGCTACTAGATGGCATAATAGGTTGTAATCTGACTACTGGTTCTAGTTTGGGATAAGCAATCACAAGGCTTCCATGATCTTTCAACAAATTGTTAATTAGTTAGCTGTTCGGTGTGTTTTGTCAATCTTGCTTTATCAGTCATTGTTTACGTTGGACTGAGATGATGGCAACTACAAGTACATTTTTTTTTTTTTTGTAATGTTTTTAGAACTCCAATATAATTAAAGAGACAGTTTTAGCCACGTATGCTAATTTAATGAAGCATTTCCTTTGGATCAGAAAGAGTTTTTGTGGAAAGGGAACAAGAAATAACCATCAGTCAAGGGAGATTATCAAAATTGTTTCCTGTGGCACTTAAAGAATTTGGAAAAAAAGCTCTATAACCTCGGGTAAGTTAACAAGAAATTATTCATCTTATAAGAAATTACTATGAAAAGTACAAAAACGTAAAAAAGAATACCAAAATTTCAGAAAGGGGGCAGCTCTTTCCACCAGTTTTGTTGAAATGAGTGCTTTACATTATGCTTTAAAAGGCAAAAAAATTCACAAGGCGATCAAGTAATGTCTTATCAGCAGACATCTTAAGTTATTCACCAAAATTTAACGCATGGATGACTGATGTGAAAAGAATATAAAAACAGCATATCAAAGCAAAAAATCATCATTTGCTGGAATTCCTATCTGTATAACATGTATAACATTAGCTTGAGACAGCTCTTAATGGTACTTTCTAGAGCATATTATCTCTCACTTTATTACTCAATTGCCCGTACCTATGTCTTTGAATGGGGAGTGAAAGATTGGTCTTTCCGAGATCATTTACTCCCATACTTGGTTATAATATTAACAAAGATAATAATCTCTTTTATTTCAATTTGTGTGACTCTCCAAGTGCAAGAGATATTGCAGACAGAAGAATACCACTGGGATAATATGAAAATGTCCCAGATCTCTAAGCAAAGAGTCAAAGAAATGGGGAAAATGTTAGCTGAAAAAACCATTCGTAAAGCCTAGGCCTTGCTTGGTAGTGACAAGTATAATAGGAGGTGAAAACAATCAAAACACTTCTTGAAGAAGATGTGATATTTTCGTTTCATAATGGCTTTTGACATCAAAGATTCTCCCGAATGTGTTAAATCCAAACTGGAACTTTTTCACTTACCTGGAAATCAAATGCCGATTCAGAGTGGCCAATGAGTTCAGTTTCATCCTCAGTCTAATGTATTTGATGGTGGTCCCATAGAATTACATATTTCAGGCAGCAGAGAATTATGTTGACTTGTCACAAACATAACTCTATGTGAGAGCAAAAATAGCGTAATTAGAACCAAGCGTAAAAGTAAAAATGGATGATTCACATCTGGATAAAGAGGCCAGCATGAGCCTCATAAATTCATTCAGGCATTCTTTGCTTTCTGAAGTGGATGTTACACAACGAACAATTGGTGTCTTCTAGTGGCACATGTTCCCAGAGAGCTTATATCATGACTTTGCTGCATCATGGTTGCTAGCTTATCCATTTCATGACATGAGAAGGTAATGAAAAAAATCGCATGTAATTAACGACTGAATGGAAGCTGTCACTGGAACATTTTATTTAAAAATTATAACCGACTATTACAGAATTTGGAAACATTTGAAGGTATCTCAGTATGAAGTTTTCTTATGCAATGCAGATTCCCTGCCTAACTTTTAAGAACCGATGGCTGTGGACTATCCTAAAAATCTGTTCCTGACACTGACTCCAATAAAAACTTTACCGAATTCGTTTGCACAGTGAGAAATTCACAAAACTCCGAAAGCACTAAATTACCCTAACTAACATTTCTTATTAATAATAACTTACTGTAATTTTACATGTGTTTTTGAACGCATTCCTTACACCCTGCCAGCTAAGTGGTAAGAACCGCCTCCCTCGCTGTTCACCTAAAGCCAAGCAATGAAAAACACGGGCGGCTAAAACAAAGAATCTCTAAGGGGAAGAATGAAAGCTTCCATAGACGCAATGTAAACCTGTTTCGCCTCTGCGCCGCTGTACCGAAGAGCCACGGCTATGCAGTGAAACACCAGCGCAGGGTGAAATTTAAACAGCGCAGTTCGAGGAGATAGTAAATTTTTTACTTTGAAATAACTCAAAATGTTTTATTTTCATACATTTTTGGAGTTTTATGAGCAAAAGGATGTTAGTTGGAATTTTGGGGCGAATTATAGAAATCCTGTGCAATTTTTACTTTCATTTTAAACAGCAAGCCGTGCGAAGACAAAATTTAAATGAAATAAATTTCTTAATTCTTTTCTTCTGTAAACTTAAAAAGGGGGGAAAACACATGCCATACAAAACGTAATAAATTTTTATGGATCCATAGTTAAAATTTTACAGTGAAGTTTTAAAAGCAAAATTTGCAATAACTAACTGAAACAGAAAAAAAATATTTAAAGACAATTAAAGGCACCCTTAAATAAAATGAAAACACTGAAATACATTATAATTATCCGACAACAACTTTAAAAACAAATTACCATGAAAACGTTTAGACAATTATTTGGAATGACCATTGTGAAAACCACGAGCAAAGTTTTCACCCAATAGCCAAAACCATTTCACTTACAGCATTACATTTAAAAAGTCTTTAAAAGAATTTCACATAGCTAAAACCAAGTACCTCTGACTACAACAACAAAGAACATTTTCGAACAACGTGGTAAAAGATTGCTAACATGGCCGACGGCATGCTGCATTCTTTGATGTTGCTTTGTTGCCTCCTGATGTTATTTCGCACATGCGCAGTGAGGTACGGAGGGTGGATGGCTTTGGAATGGTTTGCCCCTTTAAAGTAAGCTTCAGGGATATACATAATGTGTCTCTTCGGTCTGACGGAGCCACATTTGCCCCGGGGAACCTTTACTTCTTCTCCTTAGAGATTCTTTGGCTAAAACCCGCCGGGAACTGGAGAAATTCAACCAATCAGAGACAACCGTTGCGCCAGGAACTTTTGGCATCATTTTCCGATGGCCAAACGCAATTTTTATGCAAAAGTGGTATACAAGAAAGCAGTTGTTAATGTTATGGTAACTTGATCGTACTTCTTGGGTAGAAGTAGTTCATTTGTTTTTGGTTATTTTGTGGTACGCTGATATGATTTAATATTTAATTTACTGTAGTGGCGATAAGTGAAGTATGTAAATCTCAATTTCGAAAACAAATACAACTTTATTATCTACTTCAATTTGGCTAATCTCGATACCCAATAACTTTTTTGATATACTTTTAAAGAAAGGTAAAAATAATAATTGCTAAAAACTACTGTATTGTGAAATTTCTGGGCTCTTTGTGTATTTGAAAATGCTTGGTTGATATCTAGGTTTCATATTATTTCATATACTGTAAAAATCGTAGAAATTCAATAAAGAAAAATGTTTTAGGAATATGTCTTTTTTTTTTTTTTTATTTAAACTACTTTTAAAACTTTTAGGAATTTCTCTTTTGTATATTTTCCGTAGGCAAAAATCACATTAACAAAAGCTCCTACTGAATAGAGAAAATACAATGATTATTCAGAGAATCTGTATATTAAAATGCTGATGTGGGATAACTCATAAAATAACCCAGTAACTCCCAAAAGAAAAAAAAAATAATTGAAAAAATTAACATGAAACTTGTTTATGCATTATTCTCCATCGAAATAATTCTGTTTCATTTCCATTGTGTTATGTAAAAATAAAGATGTAATTTTTAAAGTCTTGGAATATTAGCACAATCAAGTAATTTTTCTTCATGATGAATCTGTGGGGTATTTTACACTTTATATTACACCGTATGTGTTACTATGTACATTATTTTCTTTCATTGCCAAGACTTTTCTGAATAATATGCAGTAATTTATCACCTTCATTAGTCTCCAGGGTTTGTAATTACATTTTAGGAAATCACACAGTCTTTAAGCTGCAATTTTAATTCCACTTGCTTATGATTTCAGATGTCATGTATTAATTCCTAGCAGAAATTCTGTATAAGTTTTCTTGAAATCCAAAGCATTTTCTTTTTCTGTACAAATAAAATATTCCAACAACAGCTATCACCATTGGATGCCTCTAATTTTTATTTTGTAAAGAGCAACAAATTGTATATTGTAGTCTACACATCTGCTGCCTATGTTCCTATAATTTGCTATCATTTCTGATTGTGGAATTGTGGTGAATTTTCACAATTCTGTATTACGCATATTAGAGAATGCATAAAAATATTTCAATTGGTAAGAGATAAGTGTTTTCTTTCTTTTTTAAAAAAAAGTTCTGTATCAATGGTAATAATTTATTTAATTCATTATTGCAAAGCAGGAAAACAGTATCTTCTTAAGGGTAGAAGACTTTTATGAAGTATATGTTTAAAAGAATATGACTTCTGTTCAAGCCGCACAAGAGAAATATCCCATGCAGCTAGCCTGTCCACCAGTGTTCAAACTATTAGTGCTTCTTAGTCTTATCCACTCGACTGCTGATGAATACTAATTATGGAAGATAGTAATAATTTTTCTCAGTGTGAAAATTTTGTGACCATTTTATAGAAAGTTTCTCACTGTAGTCTGCTCCAGAATCTTCGGATGAAGTTATCATTACATGATATATCATAATTTATTCTTTATATTGAAACTGACTGGGGAACTTCTTTTTTTTTTTCATCTGGAATAATTGTTCTTAGTAGCAGAATAACTGCACACAAAGGACTCTGTTTATAATTGTTATTCTCCAAGCAGATTTAATAAATTAACATCATTCAGTTTATTATACCAGTGTTGTATAAGAGTCAAAAACGGCTTTAAGACAAATGGGTGGTATCTGAGTATAAGTGTGCATTTAGTTACAATAATTAGTAATAATCATTTATTGTTTTACAATGGTTTACATTAATGTTATGTTTTCCTAATATCTAACATGTTAACTAACAATTCTATTTTGCTTGGTTTAAGGTTGGTTCCTAGGGACCAATGCTATATTTAATATGTTAAGAAATGACTGATGAAGTGTTAAATTGATAAAAACACTTCATCAGTCATTTCTTAACTCAAAATTTATTAAAAAATATTCATATTATGCTACATAATCTGATATTTTGAGCAATATATATTAAATTGTAATTTATTCCAACCTAGATAAAATTTTGATTAAAATATCTAGTGGTGAGCTATTAAATATTAACAAAGAGCACACACTTTATTTTATAAAATTCAAAATACCAAATTTATGTTTAATTTTTACAAGAAACGGAAAACAAATAGTAAACTGTGCATGAAAAAAAATTAAATAAGAAATATCATGGAAATTACATAAAATAGCAAATAAATTTCATGATGTGCACAATTTGTGCCAGAAGTTGCCAGAAGTTGCCTCTCACTTTTCTTCTCACATCAGTTGATCATTTGTAAGGTTTTAAGAACCAGCAGATTTTTCAAAAATTTTCTAATCTGCTAAAGATTTCCCCATTTAGCATTGTCTTTAAATCTAAAACTTCATGTGAGTCAAAGAAGGTCTTATTGTGGAAACACTTTTCGTTAAGCTTAAAGCCTGCTTAGCTTCACCTCTATTAATACTAATAGTCTTTATAATAACTATACCTTCCTTTACACTATTAGAAATTCCATTATGCAGTTTTCATGTTAAAACCATCTCGATGGAAATCCTAAAATAATTTATTTATATTTCATGTTTTAATGTAAAATTTAACGTATGTTAAAGTACAGTTACAACATGCAAGACGTTTTTCCCTGGAATAAGTAATAAGCAAACAAAAAGAACAAAGGACAAATTGAGCAAAGGACGCGTGCAAACTTCGTAGATCTCATCACTGAAGATATCATAATGGACTTTTTGTACCCCATTTAATGTTGAAAACACCTAATATTACTGATACTAAGAATAGGCTAAATAGATTTCACTTGTATATATATCAAAGCTATTTTGGCAGACATCTTTAGAAATTTCAAGACACTTTCAACTCAGACTAATTGCCAAGCAGGCTCATTTCCATTGTAGAACTGATGGTAATGAAAAAGCTGATTTCCTCACGCAGAAAAAACAAATTTACTGAGTGCATTAGATTTCACTTTCTAAAGCTTTTGACAAATTTAATTTGTAAATTTTTCATGCAGAGTCATTTCGAGCATGTAAGCGAAGAACTTGGAATGCTGTTCGAACAAATCCACCTGTGGTCCCAGGTTCTCAAAAATATATAGTTGTCACAAAATTTGTCAGGTCATGAATTTCAAGATTAAAATAAATCAAGAAGGCTTAGAATGATGCAGGTGTTATCCAATATCTGTTCTTCAAAAGGCCAGGAATAAAAACCTTTTTTCATTTTTATTGAAGAAGAGGGACCTACATCAGTTATTTCTTAAAACTGACACAAGATTTTATGTTAAGCTGCTATTTTTGCCTTACTTTAATTTTATATGTTTTTGTCAGTTAAGTATGACATACTTTTATCTGCTCTTGAATGTTAGAAAACATTAATTTTTCTAAAACCATGGGTTGTATCAAAAAATAAAGTACTTTGGAAGTAGATTTAAGCAAAATAAGTATGTTTCAGAGAAGACTCATAAGTATTACAGAAATATAATTCTAATTGTATTGGAAGCCTATAACTTTAAAATACATAATTACAAATGTTTGATATGTACATATTTGGTTATATGGTACCTGTCCCCATACTGCTTGATAAGAGTACTCTAGCTGATGTATTTTGTGTAATATGTACATGACACATATATTTCACTGGCATGTCGGTTTCCGCAGCCACAGTAATCTTGTTTGCAGATCAGACTTAATATTGGGTACAAATACTTTGTTTTTCATTTACCATTTTATACAGATCATCAGACCAGATAAGCTAAGCAAAAGGTGTCCAAATATATAGTTAGGATATAAACCTAACTATCAGTGTTCAGCAGTCTTACCATTCATGGGCACTTTTTCAGATGATTATCAACTGCATTATATTACATTATAAAGATCTTCCCATTTTACACTCCTCACGTTATGCTAATGATAATTTTTCAAAAAATCTATTTGTTACATGCATTAAAAATTCACACATCCTTCTTTTGAAATTGGGAAAGAATTCCAGATTTTATTAGATAAACAAAACATTTAATAAATTTCATATTAACCTTTTCAAAAATACAGTACATTTGAGATTTTTACTATCAATTTATTCAACATACTACATTTCTTAAAAATCAAATATCACACCAAAAACGTAATGCATTTTAGAAAAAGTTCAATCAAATTATTTATTATTATCTAGGAATCTTCTAACTATATATATATATATATATATGTTCTGCATGTGGCTTTGTTGGCCAAATTTGAGTACCTAATAAATACTTATATATATATCTATATATATAAAGAAAGAAAAAAGCAACACATCTTCTACACAGACCAAATTAATAAGCCTTTTTCATGTGCATTTTTTTCTTAATGATCAAAAAATAAATTCTTTCTGTAATTTTCAGTGCCACAAAATAAAGTGAAATGTACAATTTAGCATAAAACTTTTGAGATACAACACCGTACACCTTTTTTTGCGGGAACAGGCTAGAAATTTTACCGAAATTTTATTACACATTTCACGTGATAATCCACCGAATTTTCCGTATTCACTACATTGTCTTTTATAGTAATAAAAAGTAGAAAGAAAACTATTATAAATTGATGCGAAAAAGACGTAATCAAAAGATACGAAAAGAGGAATATGAGCGGAAAATAAATCCAAACAACCTTCAATTGCGGCATAAATTGGTCGCCAAAAACTCCCCGTATTATTTGATTGGTTGAATTCTCGTTCCGGCGGGTTTAGCCCCCTCTGAAAGCACGTCGTGTTTGAGAGGATCGCGAGCCAGTGCTTGCTTCTTCATTAGGATAGTTTAGGGGCGAATTCAAGTGCAACGCTCTGATAAATTGCAAATGTTAGCTCGCAAGAGGCTGTTCTGCTAAAGTCGAATTCAAGTGCAACGCTTTACCGCTCTGGTAACTGATGACGTCAAAATTGCAATGGGGAGCTGGTTTGCTCTCGTGCCAGGAGAGCTTGTCCGATAAACTACATCAATATCCAATGAGACTGCGTGTCGATGTAAACAAAAAACATCAGTTCCCATGATTTCTCTGAGCTTATGGTCAAGTGTTTACTGCGTTGTAGTGTGTGTGTAACGAAGTGTTCCAGTCCTGAAAACGAAAGAAATATATTTCTTTTAATGTGTACAACATGTATTTAATGTGTACAACTTTATTTACTTTATCCTATAGAAAATTCCCTCCAAAGTAATCTAGAGCAACAGGTGGTGTGTGTAAAATATATTTTACTTTTCAGACAAAAATCCTTGCTTTTTCAAATATAAACCACAATTTTTTTCCCATTTTCAAATTACAGCATTTTAGCATTTGGTTTTAATTCTTCTAATAGTAAGTTTAATTTAAAATTCAAATTTGTGTTATATTTTTATTGTTTAATGCAGATGCATGATTCTTCAGTGACAGTAGGCATGTTTACCATATGAAAATTAACTAGTTCTTGAATTATATAGTAATTAATAAGCCCATCTATCTACAAGCAGATAAGCCTGCTGAACACCGCTATCCCAGTCTCTCTTTAAATCCAGTGTGAAAAAGCTGGCTGCATGAGTGTTTTCTTCATTTTTTCAATGTATAACATGAATACTAAGTTTTCCTTAGTCTTCCATGCAGGCATTCCTTCCCTTAGACATTCATTATGTGATGAAACAGTTAAGAGCAATTTTTAGATTTATATTGTACATCGTTGGGAAAATATAAAAATGAAATTAAAGGTATTATTTCAATGTAATACAATAAATAAAAATTATATGAAACCCTGATAATTCTAATGTGATATTAATGTAATATATACATCCAGAGTAAAGGTTAATTTATAAATTATGCTTTGTGTTCTGCTCATTATATTGTGCATTTACAGTACACTTTCTGCTTCTTAAGTGAAAGTTTGGACCCATTCTCATTTGATATCAGTTATGTTCAGATTTATTTATTTCATAAAATTTCAAAAAACAATTTTTGGCTATTAAAAGCTACAAGTGCAGAAACAAAAGCTTAATTTCTTTACTGTAACTGTGTCATGCTTCTCTGCTGATAATGAAAGTCGTCTTTTAATAAGATTTCTTTCATTGCATATATTAATTATATCTTTTACCATACTGGTTGCCATCTTTCATTGTGCATTCTTCAATATTTTTTGGTACTTACGTATTAACACAAACACCTGGATCAGTTTGGTGGTCTTTATAAATGAAAAGAGAAAAATACTTATCAGGAGAAGTACGTTGTTTTTGCAGCTTGCTTTTAGCATAACCAAACTATCAATATTTATCTAAGTTGGCAAAATGTTATCAACATATCAAAGGAAAAAACATTTAACAAATTTTAAAATACTAATTTGAATTATTAAATAAAAATTATATGATAGTTTAAAAAAAAATACATTTTCCACAAATTTTTTGTCTAATTTTTTAGCACTTGTTCTTCACTGTGCCAAGTGATCTGTTTTCACTTAAAAAAAAAAAAAAAAAAATCAGAGAATTACATAAACTTGATACTGCATGCCTTGTCTATGTACCAAATTCATCTCATAGTTGTTTCCATTTAGAAATTTTTGTACTAAAATGTTCTATTCCTGCAGAACTTTTAACACAGCTTCGTCTTTTGATGGTAAGCTCCACAAGCAGTATTTTAAATCTGAAATTAATCTAAAACAACTATTCGTATCTAAAAATCCATTGGAACTTGAAATACAACATAAGGAAACACATATGAAAATGGTGACATTGCTTGAATGAATGAAAAATTGTCATGAGCATGTTACCTGAAAAATTTTGATACATAATCGTTGTCAGAGTTTGGCACATTTTTGAAAATTTGGTAACTTTTATTAAGCTGGTTTCAATAATATGCAAATATCTTTTATTCTTATGATTGCTTCATTGTATACTTTTTCCCTTTCCCTAGAGTGCAGTACAATACCACAAGTTTTCCAGCCAAATGCGGTATGCATTTCAAGTTTCTATACATTTATATAAATTTTAAGAGAGTAAAATATTGACAAAAACTGCATTAAGTTTTCAACTCTTGTTTTGTTTTTCATTAAAAATTTGCTACCATTATGTATAATTCATTTTTTTAATGTAAATGTTTTTAAGTATTTGTAGGATAAAGGCAAATTACACTTATTCATTCTTTCTTTGATATAATACATGTAGCTTTTACCTGAAATCAATGTTTGTCAAATTATTGTGCATAAATTAGAAGTATGCATGTTTCTCTTAAGTCAGTTATGTTTCAGGAACTATCTTTAATGAATTGTATAGAAAATTGTAGAGGAACGTGGTATATTATAAACATGTATAGTATCTCATAGTATATAAACTCATAACTTTGATTATGCAGTATCTTTGTATATTATTTTGAAAGCATGTATATTTCAATCAAGATTGTTGAGTAAATTTATGCTATGAAAGCATGTATATTTCAGTCAAGATTGTTGTTTCAATATTACTTAGTTTACTTTTCATAAAGGTAATGTAGTTATTCATTATAAATATCATGATATGTCAGTTATTATCTTTATCTCATATGAAATATTCAGTTATTGTAAGTTCATGTGAATATCATTCAATTCAAACTATGATATATGTTCAATTGTCATGTATGTTATTGTCATATATATAATAAATTCAGTATAAAACATTTGCAGTAAATGCTTTGATATGTATATATATCTTTATATGTGAAATGTTCATATTTGTAAATACTTTTTCGATCAGGTAATTTCATATATGTTCTTTTTCAAGATTGAAAATTGTCATGTATTTTCATGAAATTTTTCTTATTGTACATGATATAGTGAAATATTTCTATTTACTTTATGCTATCTCTGAATATTTCATGTATGAAAGCATGTATATTTCAGTCAAGATTGTTGAGTAAATTGTGCTTATTTTATGCTTTTTTCTTTTTTACATTAGAAAATTCCACACCTTTATCACGAGGAAATCTGCAATGGCATTTAGGAATGACAAGTTTGTATCTATTACATAAAATCTAATGTTTTCTGGATTCTTCTTTTCCTTTTCCTCCCAACAGAAAAACTTTAATGGTATAAATCAGCGGTTTTCAACCTTTTGACTGTAGTGTACCATCTAAGCAAAAACTGAAAAACATTAATACCTACCACTAATTTTACAATGATTATTTTTCAATTCCTCAATAGAAATATTAAAAAAATATATATATATATATATATATTGCCATTTGCACACTCTTTGTATTAAATATGTACACATAAAAACTATTAGATTAAAAACTGATGATTACTTAATTATCAAAATTAAATTTAATTAAATTAATTATTCACTTGATTATCAAAATTTCAGTTATAATACTTTAATATTTAATTTCTTTATGTCTGCTCTTATTTCATTTAATGGTAAATTAGGATCCACTTTTTATTTTGGTGAGTATTTATATTTCAAATTTAACATGGAAAAAAAATCATTTTTCACACAAACAGGTTGTGCGAAAAGACAATACAAATTTGATAGCTTTATTTGAAATGCCTTTAAATTCTTTTTTTTCGGTTCAGCCAAAAGTTAACAAGTGTGTCATTTTCCAAATCTTCAAGTCAATTTCGATCAAAGGAAATTTCTATTAACTATTCTTTTCTTTATGAGATTTTTGAATTTCATAGTTAAAAATATTTTGTTTCTTTGCATACCACCGGCTGAGAACCGCTGGTATAAATTAATTATAACAGATGTAAATTAATATTTCTCATACAAAAGAGTTATTTCAATTCTTTATTGCGAACATTATATACAGAGTATGTCTTTTATTAACAACAAGATTTTAAGAATTTAAAATAATAATCATTAAATCCTCTTGATCTATAAACAGTCTTAAAAATTATAAAGGGAAAAAAAAATTGAAAGTTAAAGAAATCAATATTATGAATTGTTCCTTTTTAGAGAAGTTTCATTGTTTAATTAATTATAAAAAGTGTTTTACATTATGAAATATAAAAATTAAGAATATTTGAATTTGAATGAATATTTTAAAATTTTCCCTCAGATAGAAGCTCAACTATTCGAAGCAGGAGACCGAAGAGAAAAAAGGAAGAGAGATGATATTACAGCTGCAGAAAAGGAAATAATTGAAACGCAGAAGAATATATTAATGTACTGTGTGAAATATGTGACTTGTATAAGCAATCAGTTGCAAATCAGTCTGCTGTCATAGAAAATCAAAATATAATTATTAATTTATTAAAAAAATAAATCATGCATTTCAAATATTACAGTGTTTTCATTCTTGTATGTATTTCTGCAGTGTGGGATTCATATTTTAATTGTAAAATTTACTACTTTCTTAATTTTATAAAATTTTGTGATTATAAAAATTATTTAAAAGAAATTCACAGATCCATTATATGACATAAACATTATAATAATTCTAATACCACTATTATAAGTCTCGTGAAAATATTTATGCATTTTACACAGCAATTATCTTTTTCCTGGAGGAAAATGGGAATAAGACCTGTAAGAATCTTTAGTCAATGTATTACAAATTTTAATTTTCAGATATAACACGAAATGAATTAAATTGTTTTTCAATTATGTTAATAAGTTATATGAATGAGATGTGGTATTAAAAATTTCATTTCTTTTTATCATTGAAGAAATAACATTCGATATCCTACAGCTCCATAACAATGGCAGATAAAATTGGACATTCTAATTTCGAAGTTCTAAAAATACAGAGTAACTTAAAGATGACAACTATTAAAGTATGGCTAATGTCTAGTTTACAATAACAATGTTGAGTCGCGTACTAAAAATTAAGTGAATCAAACTGTATTTATTTTCCCCCTTCTCTTTTTTTGGCTGAAAAACAATTTATTATACACTCATGATTTTACTTAAATGTATTTCTTTTAATGGCAAACCCACTGAGGTAAGTATGCAGTAAGTTATTATAGTGAATGCGTAATGATGATATAAATCTAAATTCAGCAAACAATCTTTCCCTTACTTTAATGTTTTAAAATCTAGAATTAAAAGAAAAATGTATGTTCTTTAAATAATACAAGAGGATATGGAGGCATAAATCATAGGCTGTTTATTCTTTACATATTATGCTAATCAGGAATTGGAGCAAAACCCTGCTTAATCGAAGAATACGCTCACAGGAATGGTGGAGGAAAATTGAACTGTCCAATATTTGTTTTGCCCACCCCCAAGAAGACATAAACAGTATAGAGTGAAATAATTGTTTTTAGGAAATACATTTAAATATCTTTGACAGAATATGTCAGTTTTAATTTATACTATAATAAATAAGCATGAAGTTCTTATGCTATTAAATGTGTATTGTCACATGGAAATTTTCTATCTTGTCCCACGGAAGGGGACGAAAGGGAAACATTTGACTTTTTGGAAGAAACTGAATTTCGGTGCAGTAAATCTTATTGCTAAGTTTAAGATAAATTAAGTGCAATGCTAATTTATAGTGACTTACTATTGTAAATCATGACTGGCATACCAACACTAAAATATATATATATCGAGCCTATTAAGTTATTTCTGGTAGTCAAGAGTTTTTAAACATAAATGATGGAAACAAGAAATTCAGAGGGAAGAACAATAATGATAAAGGTTGTCAGTATGCATTTGAAACCAGGACTAATAAAATTATTTAGGATTATTATTATCAATTAAAATCATTTAGGGTTGTGCATTTAGTTACAGGTTTAAATATAAACCATGGCTTGTGGGTCCCCAAGAATATATTATGAAAGTAATTTTTTTCATAATATATTCTTTATTATCCATGAAGGGGGTTTCACCTTTGCCAGAGGTTCATTGTTGCCCACTTTGGGTTTTTATTATCGAGTTTCAAAATTTAAAGATAATTCATTGTGCAATGCAATTTCAACATGCACTGACTGAAAACTTTCTGAAGGTACCAACTCATCATCTTCAAACACATCAATCTCAGGATTTTCATTTTCAACACAATACCTTAAGCATATATTATGTAAAATGGCCACCAGATATGACCATTTTACATATTTTGCTTTGTGAATACAATAGTGTTCCACCAGTATCGTGCAGTACCCTAAATCTTGATTTGATCTCTATAGCTGCACGAACTTTTCTGTGCTTCTCATTATAGAGATATTCCCGTGATAAAATGGGAATATAATCCACTATCTCCCAAAGATATGCACGATGCGACAAAATACTATCTAGATTTTGTTTCAGTCCACTCCATATAAATGCATCATGAGTATTGCCTGGCCATTGTCCTATAGCATAGAGAACCCTCAGACCAGCATTCCATACCTAGAAAACCTAGAAAAACATAAATCCTAAGTCAAAAGAAAGTTTCATCTGAAATTTTAATATACAGATTTTTAACATTAAATATAGTTGATATATTAATAAATCAGTCTTTTTAAGGAGTTTACTTTCCATTTTTAACAAAAATATGTCACTGTTTTTTCATTATTAAAAAATATGCAATAAAACGTTAAAACACACACACAAAAAAAAAAAAAAAAAAAAATTACAGCTACCCTTTTTTTATTAAATTGTAGTAATTATAGTAAATAGGTGATTCTAAAATTTATTTAATATTTTGTATTATTTAATATCTATACTTCACTATAATTATAGTATAGATAGCTTTTTGTAATTATTATTTGAATAATAATGAAACATTCTTCTTGCAGTAATTTGAAATGACTATAATATTATACTTATTATCATATATTTCTTACCTTTTCACCATTAATGGAAAATTTATTTTTCCGGTTAATGAAGACAAAACAAAAATTAATATCACCACACTCGCAACATCTGCGGTTTCATTTGTATGTAACCCAAAATAATTCTTGGTAAGCTAGGTAGAATCACATTTGTGATTGCACTCCAGTTCTTTTACAGCTGGTCGAAAGAATTAACATCTACTGTATGTGGAAATAGCGAACAAAACAGTAAGAAATTGGAACAATTACCTGTGGACAACTTGTATTCATAGCATTCTAAAATGAGCTTTTGGTAAAATTTGACCGCAAATAAAACAGTAGTAATGAACGAATGTGTTTTTTCACGAAGTGGGTCCAATACTTTCACAGCAGGGTTATTTCATGTATTCTGCAGAGAGACTGATGTATGGTTTGTTGTAACTGCTGTATACAAATGTCTGGCTCAGAATTCCACAGCAGTAATTAGCACAACTTTCATGGTTGATGGTATAATATGGAGGTACCAAAAATTAGTATTATCACAGTAACTGCAAGATGGCTTATATTTCTAAAACTCAGTTAACACATTTCATGCAGAAAGAAAATATTATCCAGTTTCATACTTAAATCAAGGTCACTGAAATGTGGTAAAAGCAATCTGCTTAAGAAAACAGATGCCTCTGTAGAGGACTTTCTATGGAAAACTGGCTTTCATTCCCATTATACATGGGCAAAACCAATGTCATGTAATATAATAATCTATTAGTACAGTAAATACATTTAATTTCTTTGTATTTATTTATGTCATGCTGCTTTTCGTGTAATTTAGTATGATAACCTTATAAGTTTAAGTTTATTTAATTCTGATCATGGTCTACGGAAGTAAGGTAAGTCACCTGTTATCGAGAATATCAAGTTATTAATAGTTATGTGAAAGTCTGCAATAACTTTTCATATCATAAGAGATTTACGAATGTGTATATAACTTACATGTGTAGTTATTATGCAAGATCTATAGAAAGTATCCAAAATTACCATGACATTAATCACACTGTACGAACAGGCAAGACATTATACATTAGGAGAAAATTAACTAATATTTTGGGGGATGAAATACTATTTTACACATGGGAACTGTTTAAACAGCTGAGAAAAATTCATGCTTTTTCCCCCTACAGTTACAGAATATATATATATATTGTTTCATAAGAATAAAAAGTAAAGTTAAATTTAAATAATTCTCATGCGCCATTGCTGCAAAGAATGAAATTTGAATTTAACAAATATTCTCTATTCATATAAAGTTAATTTAAATTATGAAATTTTAATTGCATACATATCAAAGATTAATTATTGCTGCAAACTAATTTACTATATCACTGAAATTCTGAGAGCATATGTAAATTAAATGCACGTATCTAAAACCATGAAAAAAATATATAATATTCCAAAAAACTAATCCCAAATATATACATATATATATATATCTCAAAGACAGGCATATGCATAATTTCTGTTAGAAAAACAATTTCTCCGAGATTACGTTTTAGAGTAATTAAAACAATAAATTAATGGTGATATATTATTACTGCATTCCAAAATTCGCAGTAATTAACGATTTCGATCATTACTACGAAAAAAAAAACGGGATGAAAAAGAAAGAATCCTGATACAATAACATTAAAAATTTGTGTGTTTACGTATAAAAATATATAATATTCTCAAATAGGTCATTTAAGCATAGTCTTTGATTCGGAAACATTTCCAGAAGTATTTCAGTTTTCATAATCTGAAGTAAAAACAAACCTGCTTTTGCAGAGAATATCCATTGGCAGTTGCCTTCAGAAAAGGTTTCAATTCATTGAAGCAAACCGATTTAATCTGAATCAACTGATGAATTCACGCTCCGACATTTCAAAAGCATTACGACTGTCTCTTAAATGCCAAGGGATTCGATCAGCATTTCTCCGATTTCTTAAATGTCTGATCACTTCAGCCATCTTGTTTACAGTCACTGTTAAGAGTTTGCGGCAGGTCAGAGGTAGCCGCAAAATTCCTCTATGGTAGTGACGTATTTTCAGTAGGCGTGTCCGAAAAGCGTTGCACTTGAATTCGCCCCTTAGACATAAAAAATGAAAGCATAATTTAATACAGTATTACATTAGAAATATTAATATAATGTAATTAATATAATATTTAAATATGAAACTGGTTATTAGTAAAAGGAAAATATTTCTGTAAAATGAAAAAAAATCATATGCAAAGCACACTGCAGAATAAAAAAATTGAGTATAAATAACAGCAAAAGCTAATTCTCAACTAGCAGATTCTGCTTCGTTTCTCATTAACATTTCAAGTAGAATGAATTTCGCCAACACCCTGCACGTTTGCTTCACCACATACTGACTTTGATTCGAAAAACCAGCCTGAGACGAGCAAGGCTGGCTTACATTATACAGTCAAAAGTCGTTAATTCGGACACCCATAATCCGGAATGATATATAATCCGGACCTCAAAGCTACAAACTTTCTGCGCATGCGTTGCG